CTAATAAATGTCACGCTGCGATAAATTGGCGGAAAGAATCGTCGAAAAACCCATTCTTTATATTGAAGTGCACACAATGTTTGCTGTGTGGAATAAACTGCTACCGTTTTTGAACGATAATTTGTCAAAATTAAAGCGTTAAGTCTGGTGGAGTATGACGTATTCTTTTAGATTTGTTCTACGAAAAGCTTAATTTTGTAGCTTCTTTTTCCTTTCAGTCAATAATATAACGAATGGGAATCTAACATCTAGATTGGTGTATTGATTACTTTTACAATCAAAGGATTTAAAAACTACTTAGGTAATAGAATCGGTGTTAAATACTCGATTGATAACTGTCAATCGAGTTTTTTCTTCACAGAAAATAACTGAGCAAATAGCAGTTGGCCGCAATTTGTTTTTTTTTTATCTTAATTCTACAGTTTAACATAAATCAATACTAAAGTTTATTTAGCTTAAATGTACATCGGAAAATGCCTAAAATGTTTAATCGGTATTACATTTCACAAACAGTTACCTAAACATAATTTATTATAATATTTAACTAGATTATAATAGTCTTTATAAATTACTAACTGTCGCACGCAACTCCGACCGCACGGAATAAAAAAACATAATTGGTATGTTTTCTTCCAGACTATGTTCTATATGTATGCCAAATTTTATTAAGATCCATTCAGCCGTTCGGGAGATACTTTCAAACATACATCCATCCATCTAAACATTCGCATTTATAATATTAGTAAGAAGTAAGATAAAAGTTTATAATTATTACTCATTGAATTCTCCTTAATATTTTTATAAGTGACAATAAAAATTTAGTAACAGATTCACAGCAAAATAAATATAATAATGGTAATAAAATTTAAACAAAAACCCGCAATAGTAAACCGTTCTTTTTAAGTAAGCGACGGGATCAGTGCCTTTTCTCTTCTATTTGCTGAGTTATATTGTGGTCAATAAAATTACCGCTACGCAATAAACCAGTAAACCACTTAACGTTTTACATAAAAATAAAGATAATAAATTAAAGGTTTTATTAATTGATATAATTATATTAACTCTAAAAACTATGCGATTAAAAAATCAGACAGGATTTCCTCCGACATAAAATGTTATGACTATATAATTTAGTGTTTAAAGGAATAATTTAGCTTTAGAAAACATGTGTACATAAGTGAATGTGAAAAACACTAGAAATTGCTATAGGATAATAATATAAAAGAATCGAAAATCGATTCGAAATCTTTTTTCTTTCGGTTGAATTCTAACTGAATTTAAGATATTTGATGAGCCTGAAATTAAACTTGATCGATAGTAAAATAATTGACTTCCTTTCTTTATAACAATTTATTATTTAAGAAAATACTTCAGAAACCTAGTTAACAATTCTGAAAAAGTTAAGAAATGAAAATGCGTCTATCTTTTGTTTTAATATTTGTGATAATTGTATGTAGTAATAAAAAATCATTTACCTTGTGGTCTGTCATCCGCGCCGTCGCTATCAACTTCGCTTCGAATACTTGAAGGGCTGGACCTCTTTAAATCCTCCTGTCCCTGTCCCTCCGGGTATCCATTCCTCATTGCTTGCTTCTCATAAGACATGAAAAACGGAAAATTCGGAACGCGACTCTGTTGAAAATAATATCCCATCTTCCCATCCCTAATTTTCACGTCTTCATCCTCCGAATGGGTGTTATCAACCGGATAATCTTGCGATATATTGTTCTCGATATCGATTTCTGGCGATCGACGATCATTTAATCCGACAATCGATTCAATCGAAAAGTTTTTCGGTGGTATTTTTGTTTGCATCTTGCTTATTTCCGATTCCATCTCACTATAACGGTTATGTCACTTCACTATTAGTCACTGGCCACTACGAACGCGACTTCTTCACTGACAGCGGTTTGAATTCGGAATGTTTTCGTAGTTCGAACACCCGACTGTCGGACTCACTTGGGTTTTGTTGGCCTTTGAGCACATCGTAACCACGCCTCCAAGGTATGGGGGAGTTCAGTAAACATTAACTTTAACGAAAATCATACCTATGCCATTATCTTAAAGTTCAATTTCAATTTTCTACCGTTACTTCAAACAATTCTCTGTACCGTAGAAAGAACTTTCAACTTTATTCGTATTGAAATACGATTTACTTAACGTTGTACTAATTTAAGTAATAAAATGATAGTAATCTACTGCGGTTTCATGTAAAAAAAAATCCAAAAAATACAAAGCACTTTAATAGCTTAATATATATGATTTTTATTGTTTTAGGTATTTAATTTTTAAATAAATAAACTTGATTGAAATAAGATATCTGAGATAACTTTTGCTAACAATTTACTAATGACAAAGACAAAGGACGGAGACTTGAGTATTTAATTGTCATCGCCAACCATCACTATTCGCAAAAGTTAATATCGCTAGAATTGATATGTGAAAGCTTAATTTCCAATATATATGATTATACGGAATATAGCGTTTTGAATATATATTCGTATATCGTAACTCTACTTTGGAAAATTTTAGAAATGAATGTATGAATATGACTAATCTTACTTTCTCAACATTGTGATTGGTTTTATTTTATAAATAGATAGATTTTTACAGTCCTTATCAAACTATTAATGTATAGACTGTAACAGATTAGGATCTAGAACTATTTAAGTATACATAAATTAGAACTCAGTATGTACTTAATTCGAGTAAAAAGGTTTAGTCGAAAAAGTTTCTTTCATATTCAGAAAAGTAATGATGTATTATGAACTTTTTATATGAATGCTTGAACCTCTTAGGACTACCTTGGATCAAAGGCTATGCTACTGATGTTTATAGACTCATTCCTTTTAATAAAACTTCAATCTTAATAGTAATCCGAGAAAAATGTTTTTCTTCTTCGCGTGTCGTCTGATGAGTCATGTGTCGGAGGCTTAATTTTAGTCCTCTTTCCCTTCCTAACCTTTTTTATAAGGAAAGGATGGGAACCAAAAGAGGATTTGGCGGAATATGGGATGAGTAATAAGGTTCAATATTCACATTTTGTGTACCCTTCCTCCGTCAATTTAATGTACGCCCCGGATCAGCAACTAGAAATGTCTATGGGCAGCGTTCGCTTCGCTATTTTGCCGAATTCAAATGGTCGCTTGCCACATTAAAATATAAAAAATGTAATCTCTAACCTATTACAAGTTTGTTACATTGATATCCGATTAATTATGGACATCCAGCGACATCTGTTGTCAAATAGGCGACACCTCAAAAAACGCCACCTAACGGCGAATAGTTGTTAAATTATATTGAAACTCGTGCTTCCAAATGTCAGGTTATTCCAACAGATGCTGTTGAACTAAATTATTTATTAAAACTGGATTAAAGCACGTGACAATTCTTTATATACTTTTCTAATTATTTATTCGTATTACAAATAGACTACTAACTGTCGCCCGCGGCGTTGTGCGCGCAGAGTTAAATAAACTTAGTAGCCTATGTCATCTTCCAGACTATGTTCTACATCTATGCTAAATTTCAGGGAGTGCAGTCGTTCCGGAGATACCTTCAAACAAACATCTATCCATCCATCGAAACGTTCGCATTTATAATATTTGTAATAAATGTTTTACTTAAGATAGACTAAACCTTACAGTATTTTTATTACATGTCATTTGAAACATTTTACCATAGGCACTAGTTGCTTCTCACGGATAAAAGATGAAACATGTACATTTTCCTAGGCTTTTTCCATAAATTTCATTAAATTCGAAAACCTTATCTCCATATTCGTACGATTCCAGCCAAAGAGTATTATTGTGTCTTGTTATTTAAATATTTAAAGTCAAATAATAATGTGTTATCAACACAGTTTAGCACAATGTAGGCGCAATGTCACGAGTACTCAATGTTAACTCCTTCAAGGTTAGCTTAAAACTACCAGAGTTAATCTCAACAAATACGTTTAACCGAGACCAAAATCTCTCCATAAAATATATCGTCATCCCTGTCTTTCTTCTTTGTCAAAACAGAGATAACAATAAATTTTATACTGAAATTTTTGAGGTCAGAAACCCACGGTTAGTGGTATTCTAGGGAAACATGTATATACATACAACTTGTTTATAACATCAAATTATATACATTCTTGTTTTTTGTGTATGTTATGTGCAAAGCCGTTTCGCCATTTCGGCGAATCCGAGTTGCCAATTGCTGATACCTTATATAATAATATTAAAAATAATACAATAATATTTAAAATCTGATTTTCGCACGGTAAAAATATAAATAATTCTATCACAGTATCTTTATATTTACAATTGAAAGGAAAAAAATATAATTCATTAAGATTTTTTAATTATGAATAAAAATATGTTATTTATTTTAGTGGCGAATTTACAGCATACAAAATATTTCAAAAAAAGTGTTCAATCGTCTAAATTTTTATTGAAAAATCTATTTTTCAAGCATAATAAACAGGGTTGAAATGCCTTATTTACATTTTATATTTACTGTTTGCTTCAACATACACCTATACTGTAATTCTAATAAATAGTTTTGCTTTAGTAGAGCGTAAACACGTTAATTATTCCTAATTAAAGAACTATAAAATATGAAAACCAGTTGATATTTTCGTTTACAAAAATCACTAAAGCCGACTTCTTACTTTTCTTCTAACTAAATTACGAATGTAAATCACGAATTCACCATAAAAATAAAACTGTTTTTAAAACTAATCATCGACAAATTACGCGCCAACCCTGACTCCAGGCTATAAGACGTGTGACAACGGCTGACGTTTCATTCGACGCGACTTTTTCAACGGGAAAACATTGCTACGTTCTCTTTGCAAATTTAAAAATAAATCGGTCATATTTTTTTTCACAAAAGGGCATTTTAATGTTATTTTTCTAAATTATTAGTAAACTATTTTAGCATACAATAATAAAATGAATAAACTACTATTTAAATAAATTACATTCAGGATGTGCAATTAGAATTAAAAAGTTTTAGTGCCTCCGTGACTTCCGTGTAATATTTTGTTTAGAATAAAAAAATTGCCATATTAAAGAAGGATGGAAGCAAATTGGACATTATTCCCGCATATCGGACTGCGGTCCCCAAACTTAACAAACACCACCGTAAGTCTTCAGGAGAATTTTGAAATCGACCTAGAAGATACCAACTGGATTTTGACATCCTCCTTTATTATATTCACAATGCAGACTGGTAAGTAAAAAATTAAGTATAATTAAGTAAAAAAAATTAAATTAAGTCTTGTTTAAAAATTATATTTTTTATGTTTCTCACGGAAAATATTATTCTTCCTCATAGGTTAAAAGATAGAATCTAAGTTTACAACTAGTCTCATCGTCTTGTTAATTGTTAAATTGTATTATAATAAAATATCATATTTGATAAGAGCATATATATTTTTTTACGGATAAATCTTTGTCAAATGCACAATAAAGATTTTGTTTACATCTAATTACACAATATTAATTACTTACTTAGATTTTCCAAAGTCGACACGATCGCCTCAAAGATCATTAAAAAAATATTATTTCTGTTTTAGGTTTTGGTATGTTAGAATCAGGATGTGTATCTATCAAAAACGAAGCTAACATCATGATGAAGAATTTAGCAGACATCTCCCTCGGCGGTTTGTTTTTTTTATTGTTTTTATTAACATTTATTAATAATGTTACCAGATTTTTTATTTATTTTTTTATCAAAATTCAGGTTTAACGTATTGGATCTTTGGTTACGGGTTATCGTTCGGTCAGGGGACGTGGTCTAACCCTTTTGTTGGAGTGGGTGACTTCCTGCTTGATCCTCCAGTCGGCGATGCTCTTATGGGTCCAGTGTTTGCGTCATTTCTCTTCCAGTTGTCTTTCGCAACTACCGCTACGACTATTGTAAGCGGTGCTATGGCCGAAAGGTGACATATTTCTCTTAGGTGTTAACAAATTAGATCAAGAATCCAACATCCGTATGAATGTATGTCATGTGTTTAAGGTGCAACTTTAAGGCGTATTGCGTGTTCTCACTGCTAAACACTATCGTATACTGTGTGCCTGCGGGCTGGGTGTGGGGTGAGCACGGCTTCCTCAACAAGCTGGGCGCAGTCGACATCGCCGGCTCCGGACCAGTGCATCTTATTGGTAACTACACTTCTGACTCGATTAAAGTGCCCAAATTTTCACTATTCTCGAAACAACGCAGTATTTTTTTTATTCTATCTGCCGGATGTAGTCTTTAATTGGTCACTAAGAAAGGCCACGTAAGGACTCTGAGTGCGGCAGTAAGTTATCTTTTAATTTATATTTAGGAGGTTCATCGGCATTCGCATCAGCTCTGATGTTAGGACCACGGCTGGGTCGGTACGCGCGAGGCACTGCACCTCTACCTATGGGCAACCCAGTAAACGCTGTGATGGGCACGTTTGTCCTCTGGTGGGGCTGGCTGGCTTTTAACTCTGGAAGCACTTACGGGGTAAACTTGTATTATCATCTTGAAGATCTCTACAAACTACAATTGACGATAAATCAGTCGATAGTAGTTAATATAATAACCTTATTATCTTATTTTCTTCTCTTCAAAAAAAACAAAAACATTCATCTAAATAGAAAACGATTTTTCAATTCAGATAAATTAGTAAAGTTGTTCCCTTTTTAGGAGTTTGCTTTTCAAAGTTAACAGAATAAAACAATTACTCATGATTTATTACTAGCGTGCAAGGTAAATTGTTGTCATTACGTGAAAATACATCTAATTTTAAAATCGCGTCGTTTAGTCCCAATCAAATTGAAATGAGCGCATTAGTGTTCTTGTAAATAGCGCTGTTTAAATACTAATTGGTAGTTAAGTCCTTTTATTATGCATCAACTTTAGTTACCTGTCTTTTATACTATAGAGGTCTGAAATTAACTTAAAACGAAGAGCTTTTGGAATTGTTTTAATGTGTGTAATTATACAATATTGAGATTTTAATATTTAACGTCACATAACCTAAAATATTATAGAATTTTTAAGTTCTATTAGCATAAATTAGTCTCCATTCTGATACATTTAAATCAAGATACAAAACAGTTTTTTTTAATATCTATAATTTCTATACGTGGATATATTTATGATACGCGTATATTACTGAAAGTTTTTTTTAATAAATAGACATGATTGTTCCTGATTAATCTTTCGTATTGCAAAAAGTAATAATTTCTAAGATAATTATAAAATAACAATTCTTTTACTTGACTTGTGACAGAATTATACAGAGTCCCTTAAAAACCAGTTTCAAAGTGGTTTGTATTGGACGAGGAGGAAACATCTTAGTTATTGTATCATGAATCTTACACTATATCTGAGGCCATTGTGACCTCGCGTGACTTTTATATCCTTAAATTTCGAAATATTTTTCATTACAACTATACTTTACTTAAACAGCTATGTTTATATAAATCTGTGGTTAACAAACCACAGATTGTAAATATCGCCTTGACATCATACCAAGGACAATTTTCAAAATCAAACAAAAAAGGAAATAATGAGAACGTATGTTCTTTATACCACATTTTTATACAGATACTAGTTGTTACCTGGGACTCCGTCCATGTGGAATTAAAAAAAACTCAAGTACTAGTTTATGTGTTCGTCCAGATTATGTTATACATGTATGCCACATTTCAGCGAGATTCATGCAGCCGTTCTGGAGATAACTTCTAACATCCAACCTTACATCTAAGCATTCGCATTTATAATATTGGTAAAATTGTAAAAGAACAAAAAATTGTTTTATTGTAACAAAGTGACGTTTTATATGTGTAGGTAAGCGGAGCGAAGTGGCAGTACGCAGCTAGAGCAGCGGTTATGACCATGATGGGGTCTTTTGGAGGCGGATGCTTCGGAATATTGTTAGTTACATTAATTATTATTGCTTAAAACATTTTGAATCTACTAGAAGTTTAATAATAATCGTGTTCTTGCAACTTTTACTTAAATATTGTAAAGATTTAATTATTTTATTTAATACAGTTACACGATGATCAAGAACAAAGGGAGAGCGGAAGTTATGGAAATGATAAATAGCGTACTGGGCGCGCTGGTTTCTGTCACTGGTAAGAACTTCATGTACCTTTCGTTCTTACCGAGGGTTTTTGAGACAGAAATCCCCGTTTAAAACATATTGTTATCCCTGTTCTGTTTGAGCTACTAAAAATGCCCTTAACGATCATTAAACAATTACTAAAGCCACAATAGCTTAGTGGTTAAAGGTAAAGTGGATCAAATGGTCATGGATTGGAATCCCGCCATCGTACAATTGTGGTGAAATATGTCCAAGTACAAGCCAAGTCTTAAAACTTATTAGTGACGCTTAACAGAATTGTTGATTTGTAAAATTAACCTAAATATTAATTGCTTATTTAAGGCGTGGTGGTACTTTATCAACATTAATCTAATAAATTTGATATTGCAGCGGGATGTTTCTTATACCGCGCGTGGGAGTCCCTCGTGATCGGTATGATAGGCGCGGCCATTGCCAACGGGAGCGCCATATTGTTTGACAAGATGCGTATTGACGACCCTGTTAGTGCCTCCGCGGTGCACGGCGCATGTGGACTTTGGGGTACACTTCTTTCTTTTTTTTTATGAAAGACACATTAAGGATATTCAATAGTCCCTTTCCACATAGGCATGGAATTTAATTAATTTCCCTTGGTAAGAGCTTATAAGATCTGATGATGACACACCGGGCATTTAATTTGGCACGTTGTTAACAAATGTATTCTTCTAGCCGACGTGCCAACTCAAGCTGCAGTATTTCATTGCATGTGGAATAATTTAAATGTTTTCTGACAGGCGTGTTGGCTGTCGGACTCTTTGCTGATAATCCTATTCCTATGGAAACGACCAATGGTCGGTCAGGTTTATTTAAAGGTATGTTTTGAATTTCATTTATTAAAATTACACTCATGGCCACTTTCAATTATTAACTTATTAGTTAAGGTTCTTCCGTAGTGTAGTTTTTATGCCCAAAATCCATCCTAAGGGACAACTTAATATATTTTGAGTTTAAGGAAACTTTTTTGTTGAAGAAACCGTAGCAGTCTCACATCCTTTTTAAACGAAGAAGACCAAAACCCTTATCATTATCTCTCTGTCATTGTCCCACGTACGTAAGGTCGGCGCACCAGGATTCCGTCCTAAATATCAACCTATCTACCGTCATCAAACCAAGTTCCTGAGTAAGCAATTGGCAAGTCTGAGTTATACGTTGGAATGTTGGATAGGTGGCGGTTGGTACCTGCTGGGCGTGCAGGCGCTGACTGGGGTGTGCCTGGCGGCGTGGGGGGCGCTTGTCACAATGGCATTGCTGTGGCTCATCGATCGAGCTCTGCCCATCCGTATGGACCCCTACAATGAACTGCTCGGCGCTGACCTGACCGAACATAGGATACGGCACGGACAGGTTGCATTGCTCACGATATTTAATGTCTGTCCCGTTCCCTTCGTGTAGATTTCGCAGACACTTTCCCCTGTCGTATAGAAGCCCAGTGCAAAGTATCCCGCTGCGTTCCTTTATAAATCCCGAATCTTCTCACTAGTGGCACTAGAGGATAACCACTAAGTCCAACCAAGTAGTTTAGTGAAGTCTCACATAACACTATCTTTCCGCCAAACGCAGCATCTTTTGAAGTTATCCTCTATAGAAGTAAATTTTATCGAACACTAAGCAGGTATTTTTCTAACCAAATTTAATTTTAGGTGGGAGTTTCCCGAGCTGTTTCAGCACTACGTCCTTTCCATAGATCCAACAGTATAGAGGAAGTTGGTGGGATTGGTGTCAATACTGGTCATAGCCTGATTGTTGATAAATTACAAGAGGTTTGATTAATTATTCATACCTACCAGTGCTTTAATCTAATGCACATTGCTTTCTGTCCTTTCTTTATAATATTTTTTTCATTATACAGGCAAAAAGGAAGAATAAAACCAGTCCAACGCCTAAATTACAAAATTACACGAACAATGCATTTGAGGGCGATAATAGCGGACAGACATTTAAAAGTAATGGAATTTTAAACAAACGCCCTGGCAACCCTGAAAACGACCTCCACCGCGCTCTTGACTCTATGGCACAAGAGATAAATGAGGCGAAACCTAAAAATGAAAACGAAAAGAAAGGTGAAGAGGAAAAAACTAATGCGGGCGGTAAACGGTTACCGGAAGATATAAAAGGTAAAAAGTTCAAAGATCTTTCAGTGACCGAACTTGAAGAATTGGGTGAAATCAACGCGAGTCAAGATCGATTCAGATATCGATATACGGAAGATGACTATCGAGACGATATATCCAGAAGTAATACGGCTAATGTTAATTTGAAATGGATTAATTAGTAAAACGTGGCTAATTTAAGTTATTTATCTCAGTTACTTTCATAAGAATTATTTAAATGAATTTGTTATTTATCTAACATAATATTCTGCCCTGTTCCTTCAATGTTACTCTATGAAAGGATGAAGTAATGAAAGATGTGTTGCCATATTTTAAAATCATAAAAATTTGCCATGATCCAAAAATTAGGTTTAAAAAAACACATATACCAAATTTTTAAATTATCTTTATATTTAAAAAATTTCATTATTAAACCAAAAAGTAATTTCTGTGGGCAAAGATTTCGATGTTTTGACAGCCTCTTTAAGGTCATATTCAGGTACAGCCAGAGTATACAATTTATATTCTTTCTGAACACCACTGGTTGTGGTATCACCAGTATTGTAGATAGAATCTGTGCTTCTCACTGGCATTATCACTTCTAACTCTTGAAGATGCTCAAACGCCTTCAGTATCACCGGTCTTGGTACTGTTTGCGTTGACGAATTTTTATCAACGAATTTTTTGTACCTACGAATAACAACATAGCAAATGTAATGAAAACATATTTGTATAAATATCATTAAATCTAGAAATAAGTTTTACGTCTTAGATATAGAGACCATTATCTTACTGATGTACTTAATACTTATTGTGGGTTTCCGAAACTAAAATCTATACAAAACTTATCGTCATCCCTGTTCATATCTTTAACAAAAGAGAGAACAGTATGTATTAACTGGAAATGTTGGTCTCAGAAGCCCAAAGTTAGTCATTAAACTGTCTATAATATAAATGATGTTCTTACCTATGTAAGACCATTTCAAAATTCATTGGTTGACCGTCAAATATATCCATGCCCTGTTTCATGGCGATGACCAGAGACAACTCTAGAATGGACAATGATTGCAACACCTTTACTCTGTGCTCCTGACCTACAGTGTTGTCTATGGTTGTAACGAAACCCGCAACGTCTATGTGGGGACTCGTTTCATTCAATCGCGATACAACTTGAAACTGAAAGAAATTTGATTGATTAAAAAATCAATATATATTAATAAAATTGTAGTGTCTTCTGTATACTATCGAAAAAAATCATATTCGTACACATGAAAAAATATTTTTTGTCGGTCTGTCAGTATGTCTGTCCGCAAGGGCGTGTTTGTTCCGGTTAAACTGATATTGACGGAACATAGACGGGAAGCATGTTTCTTTTGTTTGCATGAAATAAAGGCATACATAATAATGTGAACAAAAAGTACATAAATACAAAAAGTAACTCACCAAAATGTTCCTAAATATCTGCTCATTGACTGTAAAATAACATAACTTTTCCAAAGCATTAGCAATATCTTTATTTTCCACCAAACTTAAAATATGCGAGTTCCAATACACAAGGGAGTTCTCATCAAATTCTTGAAACTGTTTTGGATCTACCTTACATCTTGTGAACACTTTAGCTGGTACTGCATATTGTATTGTATCATCATTTAATTCTACATCCATTTCTTCTTCAGTTACTGCTAAATAGAGTTTACATTTAAAATTAAGTGATAAATCAACTATTATTGTGGGTTTTGGCTGAAATTTTTTTTTAATATCATACAGTGGGAAACAAGCTAATGCCACTAGAATTTCGCCGAAATAGCGAAGCGAACGCTGCCCATAGACATCAGTAATAACAGATGTGTTGCCAACCTCTAATTGAGTTACAAATATGTAGACACATATTGTCATCCCCTTCATTTCCTTTGAAAAAAACAGGGACAATATGTGTCAATACGAAACCCATAGGTACTTGTTAACATAAACAGTGCCAGTACATATTATGATGAAAAAAAAAACAGAACTGAGTGCACTGAATGTGTTAAAATACTTACCTACAGATTTCCTTCTACCTCCTCGTTTCTTTTTTGTTGTACCTCCACATTTTCTTGTCAAACTCAATGGCACACTTAGCAACTGGATTAATCTTACTTTATAGTTGTCCACAGGTTTTATATTGTCATTAGGAAATAAGAAGATGTGTCGATGAGAGAAACGAGATTTGACACGCTTTTCCAACATTTCCATTACATCCAATCGATTTGTTACACCTGTTTGTATGTAAAATTTAGAAATAAATGAACAAGTGTTTCTCCAAATATTGAAAACCTCCACCTATCGGCAAATAAAATATTTCTAAGGCTTACCTAATACACACATAGGTGCCTGTTTATTGTGTGTGATATCAAATAAATTATACAATAATGTCTGTGTCCTTCCACTGTGGCAGAATAAATCAAACTCCTCTAAAATAAAAATCATACTCTTACAGCTACGGTCAGCCCCACTCTGCAGGCAGCTTAATAAGAAACTAAGGTTCTCCGCAAAAGTGCCAAAGACACGATCACCAACTGCATTTTCTAGTTGCATCTTAAATTGCAAATTAAACATTATTTTAAACCAATAATGAATTACAATTAATTAGTTATTTATTTATCAAACTAAAATACCTGTGCTGTTATAGACTTCAAAGCAATCTTATCATCCTGGTGCAGAAGACCATTGAGTTTAACTATGAGACAATCACTTTCTAAGTCTAATTCACTCTCTAATTGCTCAAGAACAGTGTTGATTAACTAAAATAATAATAAAAAAATCTTTTACTAATAAAGTTGCCAAAATGTTATTATGCTAAACTAAGCTTTAGATATTAATACATTATTCTTAAGAAAAGCATTTTTATAAAGGCTTAAGGTAACAGTAACTTGTAACTTTACTCTATTCTACGTTTGAAAATAAAATACCGCAAATATAAACTTAAGTCAGAGTAAGTAGCATTCAATTTCTAAATTCAAAATAAAAGTTGTAGTTATACAGAGCAAAGTAGAACTTGATAGAGTACAGTATTTAAACATTTCAACTCACGGTTGTTTTACCGCAACCCCTTGGTCCTATTATTAAAGCGGAATGTGATTCGCCGTGTGAAATAACCCTCTTGATCAAATCATGTACATGATTTCTTTCTATTTCGTGGTCTTGAAATTGTACATTATCTTCCAATATTTTTATTTTTAAATACTTTCTAATTAGTTTTATTTTTAGAGCAAGCGGTTCGGTATCATATGTCTCACACATTTCGCAAACAACAAACTATTAAATCAAAAATTTTAATTTTGAACAAATTAAAATTCTGTACCAGTAAAAAGATAAACACAACGATAAATTTCGCGCGCTTTTGATTCTGTGTGTCAACGTCAAATGTCATCAATGTGATTTTTTTTAATTCGAAAATTGTAAGCTCTGAATTCGAATGTCAGGATATACCCAACTTAAACCCGGTGGAGAAAATAGCTGAATTACTAGAAGTAACTTAGACAAACAAATAAATAAACAACAAAATAAATTGTGTACTACTTCTAACGTTATTATCAATTCTTTTAGTTAAAGATACTTCAAACTACTAGTCGTAGTAAGCTTTATTTATTATTGAATTGAATTCGAAAAAAACAAATATCGTGTTCGTGCTTATTCAATTACTAGAAGTGCCAAATTATTAAAAAAAAGTCTGAAGTAATAAAAACTGATTGAGATCTAAACGGGTTAGACATAGCAATGATTAATGGCATACAGGTTATATGTAAATATGTTAAAAATACATAATACTACAGGCTATATTTGATTAGGCATATCATACCACGAACCTTTTAATGGGATATAGGAATAGCACAGTGCGCATGTGTCGAATGTTACCTTGCGCACTTTCAACTGAGAAGTGATCGATATTTTAAACACTATACATGAGAGTTATCTTGAGAAAATGTACATAGTCTTGTTTTGAATTTTTTTGCATGACAAAACTTTTAGCAAGAAAAGCAATTTTAAGCTAACATCAACAGCTGCTTAACAATGGCATATTAAATTTTAAGTGTTTAAGTAAAATATTTGATCTTTAGAAAATTAATCCACCCCTATTCATCTCATGTAGAATAACCGAATTACCTTGTGAAATATTGCCATCTCTTTTAAACCTATGGTTTTAAAGTATTGCACGTCCTTTTCTTGACCTTAAACCTTGTCAAATATAATTATTTCATAAAAGATTTTATTTATGTAGGATCAGATTTTTACCGGAAAAAATATTTAGAACATGTTAATCTATTCTATTGATCCTCAATATTTAATATTTTACTAAATTTAAAGTTACGTTAAACATGAAAAGTAAATAACATATATTTTTAAATAATTAAAAAAATAGTAATTCTGTGTTTCAACTAAACATTTTACCGGAGATATAAACTGGTTCATAATTGCCTTAATAGAGTGAAAGTGAACACAGTGATCACAAATTGTTAAACCAAAATTCTTACGATGTGAATGTGATTTATCAAAAAACAATGAATTTTAAAATGTGGAGCAGGTTCTAAATAATTCAATTATAATATTATTGCAAATTTTGCACATACACGAGTGATAAACACAATGTAATTTTGCGTTATATTTTTTGCTTAAAACATCCTAAGGAAAGGCTTTTAATGTTAGTAAATATAGGTAGAGTTGTATAATTTATAACAGCGTACATAATACTTTAATTCTATGTTTGTGTGTACATTTTAAATAAGGCAGTATGTTCATATGCCTTGCGAAAAATTATAATAAAAAATTCAACAATACTTTCGCATCAGAGCTCATAATTCTTCAGTTATAATTTAACTGTGTCAAGAATTATATAATTATAATGTATTATATTAGAAATGCGTGTAATTATTATCTTGCCTTCGTATGTGATTTGTTATAAAAAGTTATTAAAAAAATATTTTTGTAGTCTGTGTACGCTTCCACTTCCAATTCCATAACCAATTATCAAATCGCAAAACTCGCTTTCTCGCTTTGTTTCCATGTATCCATCGCCCACCGTGTTTTTATGCGTTTGTTTAGTGTACTTTTATAAGTGCAGTGATTTTGTTTGCAGTGTTCGTAATGTTAACATTTTATATATTAAGTGAAATACGATTTTTATTTGTAAATTAAAACGTAAGTACTCCAAGCTTTTTAAACATCGCAAGAATATTAATTTTATTCAATATGTAGGTGTTTGTTAAAATTGTTAATATTATAACTGTTTAAGGAATTAATTAATAATTTCAAATAATGGTTATTCTATAAATATCTGGAAAGTTGACTTTAATCGCTTTTAAGTGTCATTAATTTTATCACCCACGTCGAGACTGTTTAAATCATTTATATCTGTGCGTATATTTAATATTTATCGATGTCCCCACACAACACGCCTACTGATAATTTACTAAAATAAAAATCCAAAGTTTTACGAAATTGAATAAACAACATTCACAACACGCATATTTCAATTAAGCAAATAGTAATTTATTTTTTACGCATTATGTTTTCTGACAGATGTATGTTTGTATGCAATTTGCAAATATTTCTGGTTAATGTGTTTTATCTAATAACAATATTTATCTTATAATGGCTTTGGTTTGGTCAATCTGTTATTTAAGTTTTGTTATTTGTCATGCTTTTCAGTGTGCCAATTTGCTAAAAACTAGCTAACTTGTTCAATTACAGCTTAAGCTTACGTATTAATCCAATTTGACAAGCATTTTAGCAGTTTCAAGCTCATGCAACTAAACTATTAATAGATGCAAGCATATTATAATACAATGTACTTACAATGTTCAGTGTAAAAATAGACTTTGGATAATTTTTATCCTTTGCCCGTTCATAACTCAACAAGACTTTACATAATAGTCATAGGAATAATTTTGTTTCAGATAAAATAAAAATGACTGTAGCCTTCTCAATGCATTTCTTGTTTTTTAAATACTCATAGCAAAACAGAACACTAATGCGCAAACAATAACACAGAAATTTAAAAAAAAACTGACCTTAATTTTTTAATTTCAGATGTTTCTTACATCTGTAGTCATAGTTAAGTGTTGCGAGTGCCCACCGGTGGAGTACCATCCTCGCAATGGCGGAAGAGCAGGCATGCCTCGTGCGTGCGAGATCTGACTCTGAAAGCTCCTCCAAACTTGGCAGCTTTGGATCAATTACCCGCACTATGACTTATACAGAGGATAGACTGACCGGTAACTATAATTTATTGTATTTATACAGAAAACTTGGTGTTTAGGGGATGAATTCTATAAAATCTACTCTCAGTATTTGATTATGTGGTAGTAGAGACAAGTTTAGAGTTCTAAGACTCAGTAGTTTGGGCTGTCCTTTGATATGTCAGTCATATCAGTTTCGTCTTCACTATATGTAAATAGATTAATAGTTTTTAAATTACTTTTAAAGATTCATATCTTCATTTAAGGTGCTGAAGGTGCCGGTGAGCCTGGCAATGTGTCTGTGCCCACAGCCAGCCCCCCAGAGCAAGTACCAGATGGCAATGAGAGTGGAGAGCTCTTAGACTATAATGATTCTAGTGTGTTAGAACAATTCCATGAAGATGCCTTGCGACAGGTGATTCACACTTTTATGAAGAGTAAATAAGAGTTTTAGATAGTAGTTTGTAAAAATGCTTGTGATAATAAAAAAACTAGTCATTTTTATTACAATTCTGTAAACAAAATACATAATTTCCAGAGCTTGCAATGTTTAGATCTACCACTACATGTCTTTTTTAGATTAGATGAGATAACTATTGTTTTAATTGTATAGCAAACTTTAATTCTAATTCCTATCAAAATGAAGCAAACATTTTGTTTTTGGAATGCCAATGGTATGTTACAACATACCAAAGTACCTTATATGGGCCAATGTCTTAGTATGGATTATAAAAAGGTGAAGGAATGCATACTATAGAATGCATTGGCAGGGCCTATGTCCAGCAGTGGGCAGAAATAAACTGATGATTATAATATCTCAGTTATATAGTTGAACTACAAATAGGTCATTGGAATGAGTAAAATTAAGGTTATTAGTTTAAACTTCCATTATATAACTTGCAGGCGGGCTGTGGTCTATCGCAAGCACGGGTGTTACTTGCCGTAACACTGGCTATAGCGGGTGCATCCCTTGAGCTAGCTGCCATACCTTTTGTGCTGCCCTCAGCTGAAATTGAACTCTGTATACTGCCACATGAAAAGAATTGGCTTGGTATGTCGAAAATTGAATATGACTTACTAACTTTTTAATTATTTACTTATTTTTAATTTATTTGTGCCAGTACTAATCAGCCTGGTGGGCGGCTCGCTGGGCGCGGTGGGGTGGGGTGCTCTGGGTGAGCGGCTGGGGCGGCGCCGCACTTTGCTGTCGTGTCTCGCGGTTAATGCGGTGTTTGCAGCCATTGCTGCTTTCATGCCCACCTACGGCACCTTCATGATGGCCAGGTGAGTAAAAGGGAGTAACATAAACTATTAATAATTATGTGAAACACACCAGCATAGCCATGTTTCCCTTATTTACTATGGAAAAGAAAATACAAAACAATTACTTGATATTTTGCATCAAAGAATTAGAATGAATAAGGGGAGCAACACACTTTAAAGTCATATATTTTTTTCATTACCTAATACAGCCAGGCCTTTGATAATTAAAATAGCTTATTTAAAATCTTTTTTGTTTTAAAAATATAAACTGAAATAAAGGTATATCTACAATAATTTGTATGTTCAAATGTTCAGATTCTGTTCATCAATCGGCTCTGGTGGCACGGCGTCCGTGGGCTACACTTACTGCGGCGAGTGGTGCGCGCGCGCACGCCGGCGCCGCGCACTAGCACTGTTGGCTGCAGGAGCCGGCGCCGGCGCCCTGCTCGCGGCTGCGCTTGCGCACGCTGTACTGCCTGACACCGGCGCGGATGCACTCAGAGAGAATAAGGAGCACTTTAGTGCCTGGCATAGGTATATTACAAAAAAATTATAGTACTTTATAACAGAAGTCAGATAGTCTTTTTGAAATTACACAAATATACATTTTGTAACTTGAGCTGATCTCTCGGTCATTGTTAAGTACTCAGATTATTTCTATATGTGTATTTAATTTATAAAAATAACGTTATTAAAAAAAAAATTCCAGATACCTTCTTTTATGCACGTTGCCAATACTTGCGTCGTTAGTGAGTCTGATCTGGACGCAGGAGTCGCCGCGGTACTTGCTCGACGTCGGTCGGGAAGTTGATGCTATGATGGTCTATCAGGTAATTAGCAAATATTTGAACTGTGATCAATAAATTCTTCATATGGATTTAAATTATAGTTTTAGTTATCCACGTATGCGGGCAACAACAACGGTACGACTTAGGGTCCTACATGAAGCGAGTGTATCACCATCTCAAAGGCCGGCAATACATCTGCGGTTCCTCTGGTCTTGCAGATGTCCATGAGCGACGATGAAACCTCGGTGTTCCCGCTGTTCGTTCGCCCCTAACTCTTATAAAAAATAAGCTTACGTAACTTTATGTAAGATTGCTTATATGAGTAAAACTTTGTTTTGGAATATTAATAACAGCCTCTTACATAAGGTGAATGCCTCAACTTGTCTTTTCCAGCTAATAAGTATATAATTGTAATGTATGTATGTATGGTGTGGTGCAGAGCATACACAGCAGCAACCAGTTCCGCGTGTGCGGCAAGGCGGAGGTGGCGGCGGGTGCGGGAGACGCGGAGTACCGGCTGGGCGAGCTGGCGCTGCCCGGCAAGCGGCGCCCGCCCGCGCTGCACCATGTGCGACATAGTGTTAAAATGGTAAGTACAGTCACCGCCACTGTCGGTGTAACACTTACAAAAATAATATCTATTTACTCCCAAAGAGGCAAAATCTTACAAATACTAGAGAACTAGCCCTGACTATTGTGCCTTTTTATCATTTTAAGCTGTATGAGATGTTCAAACTATTATAGATTTAAATGTATACATTTGTTTTATCTAGTCTAATCGAAATTGTTAGAGTTATATGAATTACAAATGGTGAAGTTTGTCAAAAATTATTTCTTTGTTTCAGTTCTGGCAGGCATTTTTTCAACTATTTTCAAGTCCCTACAGAAGTACTACAGTCTCGTTAGGAGGGATATTACTCTTTAGTATGGCTATACAGGTAAACATCATCATTGTTTTTTGATTTTCCACCTACCTCTAAAGTCATTAATGCACAACACTTTTTAGTTTTTTTTTTTAATCATATATGCAATTTGCAGTATTACTTGTCATCGTACGTGCCGGCAACAGTGGTGTCAGCGGAGAACGAGCAATTCGAAGCGGCAAAACGTTGGATAACGAACGAGTCGTTCGTCAACGAGCATTACAACGAGACGTTGGAGAACGCACAGTTCGTGGGCGTGGCTTTCCGCGACTGCAGCTTCCGTGACATGATCGTCTCCCACGTCACCTTCCAAAACTGCACCTTTACTAATGTATCCTTCTCCAATATCATGTCTTCCTTTACAATGTTTAAGGATTCCGTCTTTATTAATAGCAGGTATGTATTTTGTAACAATCGAATCCTAAAGTTTACCTCATGCTAAGAAAGTTTACTTATGACTAAAGTTTGATGCTAAATAGGGTTAACACATCAGGCTCGTAATCGATTTGTCGAATGCCATTTTTATGAAAGTTATAAGTAGTTCAGAAACAAAGTGTTTTCGTATTTATAATGATATTATACTATCTTTATAATAATAAAGTGTGAGTGCAATAGATTTGTAACTTTGTGTCAGTATAATCGACACGGACATGGAGGTGGGGCGCGAGCTGTCCGAATGTGTACTGTCGGGGAGTGTAGTGCGCGGTATCCGCGGCGGCTGCGCGCGACACGCAGACCTGCGCTCGCACCTCGCCGGCCTGCGCGCCGAACAAGCGCACGCCGCCCGCGCCGCACTCGCCGGCGCCGCGCTAGCACTACTGCCCCACCCCACCACCGTACGACCAACCGGTACGTACATATAGCTTCACATGTTTAATCCTTGCTAAAGACCATGTGTCACGAGAGACAGGTATTACTTGCAAAACCGTCACATCGGTGGTAACTGACACACCTTACGAGACTAAATGATAAAGAAGAGTAGTCGTGACCCTCACACATGTAAACACAATGCACACAGAGAGAGAGATATAAGGAAGTACATTAGTTTACATTTAGTAAGAAAAATCTATGTTGAGAAATTACATATTACGTTTATTGCCACCGAAGTCATTTTCATAAACCGAATTGAGAACCGTGTAGTAAAATCCCTTTTCCACTAGGCTACCAGCAGTGTGACTAACTGTTGAAACTGGAGTGAAATGTTGTATCTTCTTTTCAGTTATCCTGTGCGCGGCGTGCATAGTTGTGTCCCCCTCTATCTACTTCACACGTGACGAGACGGTGTTGTACATCATAGAGGCGGTGTACAGATTGCTAGTTACACTTATATTCTACAATGTCGGACTAGATGTCGTGGATTCCTACCCTGCTAATTTAAGGTGAGATTTTACTTTAATTATATATTGTAAATGAACACAGGCAATAGTGACCGTATAATCGGCATCTTAATATTAATTCTACGTAATTCCTTCTTTTACCAGTTTTAAGTTTACTTTTATTTTATTTGTTAGACTACTTTTCCTCTGAGCTATATTCGCGGTCTCGCCAAGCTAAATATACCGTGCATTTTACCTATTACAGTAATTAGCGTTAATGGAAAAGACGTCTTACTAATAACAATATAATATTTTAACAGATGTACAGCGCACGGTCTAATACTGTCAGTGGCGTACATGGGCGGGGCGATAGTGAAGGGCGCGGGCGAGGCGTGCGCTTCACTCAGCACTCTGCTCTGCGCCCTGCTGGCCCTCGCCGCCACCGCACTCTCACTCTACAAGCGATAGGTACACAGGTATTGAAGTTGTCTAATATCTTGGCGGCTCGAAACATCGTACGAGTAACTGCTCAGAACACAATTTTAGTTATTAAAAGGATGCGGGTGATGGCAGCGCGCAGCTCTTCAGCCGCCAGGATATTTGAATCAGCTTATACAGTCAGTCGTTCAAAGTGTTTCACATACAGAAAATAACTCTGCTCTTTCTTACACAATTAATTTGATTTGTACAAAAAAAACTACTGCTATGAAGATAGAGCACCGACAGCAAACCTCACTGTACTTTATGAGTTCATTGTAGGAAGACAATTTTACCTCAGAACTCCACTAAGAGACGAAAATATCTATCAATACAAGTTTCACTAATCGACACACATATATAATGAAAAATATATCTTGGTTAAGAAATATTTTGGAGTGTTCGTAAAGTACAGGACGAAGTCACAGGCGGCAGCTAGTAGTATAAACAATATTGATCTGAAGGCTGCTTTAGATACGTGGTACATGAACAGCGTTCCACCGTATTACTCGCGATGATGCGATTGCGAGACTTGGCTAGAATCATTCTTTTATGGAAAATAATAAATGAACTTGAAATTAGTAATATGTTAATGCATTCCTAAAATCTATTTTTTAAAAGGTACAACAATTAGGCAAATAGGACTAAAACATCCGCACGCCATTGCTAATAAACCTATTTCTACTACCAAATATCAAAATCAACAAGTCTACTAAAACTATAAAAATGTATCAAAGTAATGAAAAAATGGGTTAAGTAAAAAAAAATCATCATCATCATTCATCCGAATTTACCATCACAATTATCATTATTTTATTTTAAACTTATATAAAAACAGCTAAAACACTGATATATTCGTCCGGTGGCGGCACCGACTATCTTCGAGCCCATCGGGGGCCCTTCAAGGTGAGTGGGACTGATATTATTTCGCGGACGTTCCCTGATGAAGAGCCCCCGATGACCTCGAAAATAGTCGGTTCCATCACCGGATGAATATTAGTGAGTTTTTCAGACGTTTTTATATAAGTTAATGATAATGTCTCACGAAACTTTGAATAATTTATTCATTTTATTTATCAATGGTTACATATCTTTCATGTGAAAGCTTTAATAGTTAAAGGTGAAGCAATCAGATTCTTAACTTGCCAACAAACAACCAAAGAATCACGACTGATACAAATCTAGCTAAATCATTATAAAGGCTGAAGCTAGGAAGAATATTACAAAGTAGGAAATAATAAAAAAAAGTCTCCTCATGCAAATATTCTAGTAATATCGCATGTTTCAAATATTCAAATGCAAGTAATTTATGAATAACTTTGCTAGTGGTTTTGACTTTTTTTTGATAGGATTTCTTTCTAGCAGCTATAAATCCTAATATCATAAATAGGCAAGATTTGTTTGAAATTGTAAAACTAAATTTAGTGAATCATTTTGAAAAATTTATAGGATTTTTTTTTATTATCCACAAGTAATAGGTTATATTTTTAAGTTTCATTATCAGAATTACTTGCCATAATTAGATTATAGATTAAAAATGTTTGTTGCCATATTTTTTCATACATTCCTATGAATGCAAGGATTAAAATTAATTTTGCAATTATTTTATTAAGTAAGAGAAAAAAATAAATATCAAAAGAAAACTACAATATTTCTATGAGACAAGAAAGCAATAAAATTTAAATGAAGCAATGATATTAAATATAAAGAACATAAAGAGAAAAAGATGACATTGGTGGCAGAAAAGTTGTTACTTTTGTCTTTGCGAGAACAAAACAAAATGAAAATCCTAAAAGGTAAATTCCTAAAAAGGAACGTGTAATGACACTTTTTCCTAATGTGTAATTAGTGTACATAATCAATTTTCCGGTAATTCATTAATCATTTGGCGCCGCTTAATATAATACAGATAGTAGATTAAATCATTTCTACAGTAGACCAATAATACATAACGATCACAATATGTAACAAAATCACTGATCTCCACAATCGACTGGACAGGCTACGAGCTACGTTGTATTTAGTGCCTATTTGATTGGCGCCATTTTGGCGCTGCTGGTAGCGGTGGTGAGGAGTCGAACTAATAATAAAGATGTAAACTGTCAATAACATCAACAGTGCTTTTAATTTGGAACAGAACAAAAGCTGTCATTTCCTCTTGCCCACCTGTCCAGTGATATAAATAAGTGAGCCAGATTCATCCGATGTTTAATTTTGTAGTGTTGACACTGAGAAAATACTTTTATCAATTATTTCGCAAGGTTTAGGAAGAAAACTAGAATTGGCTATATTCTATAGTGACCGTTGTTTTCTGTGTGATGATTTAAAAAGATAATTTACCCGAAGAAATAATGTGCAGAACAAACAATAAGACATTATTAAAATTATTATTACAGACTACCCTATAGTAAAACTTCTTATGTACTAGTCACATGATGCAGTAGTCAACATTTAAATGATGAAATAAACTTACACTCCTCTAAATACTCTATTTTAAGCAAAAAAAATATTATAATTCCATATTTTATTTGGAAAAAGCATCAACGATAGATGTAAAGTCAATTGTTTCCGTACAAATGGGTAGTCTGGAAATTTGTTAAGGCTGAACATATCTTAGCAGAGACAAGTAAAACATGGTTGTAATAAAACTTTTATACAATAATAATGAATTAGTCGTATGCTAGTAGATTAAAAAAATAACGTACTTTTCATAAGTTGTTTTGTAGGTGTGCATATTTGATGTTTTCGATTAGATATAAATGATTTTGGTTGTCTAAGAAGTTTGTATATAAGCCTGAGATAGTCCACAGATTTTTTTAAAGCTTTGAAACGTTGAATTCGTTTTACAACTGAAACAATAATGCATAAACAGACAGGTCAAACAAATTTACATCGAAATATTTATCATCAATCTTTGTTACTTGCTGTGCAATTATAACATGAGAATAAGTCTTCATCGAAATATCTAATAGGCTATCTATACCTAGCTATGTTTGAAGCTATGATCTTAGGTTAACCATAATGCCATATTTTTCGTTTAAGTAACCACATTCATAATATAGACTGCTTTTTTCCTATAAAAGACATTTTGGATGTAGAAATAAATTAGTATTTAGCTGTATTTCATATTTTAATAACACATTATGACAATATGCTACTGCCCGAGTATTTCACGTTATCTACTGAATTATTGTATCATCGTAAATAAAATGCTTTAGTAGTTTTGTAATTTACGTCACAGATTTGTCTCTCAAGTTATTATGTTTGCTCTTTATAGAGTGACCGAGATGAATATATATGCAAGCCTCTTAATTGGAAAGAGAGAGATAATCTAATGCAATCTATTACCAACTTCAAGCAGATTTGAAAGTCTATGCATTATTTCTGAATAACCATGTGGCGTATATATGAGATAATATTTTTTTTTTATAATTTAGAATTATGTAAAACGAATTTAGTTATATCTTTTTTGCATTCCTTTTTAGGATTTATATACATCACATTATACAATTAGGCCATATATTACTAGTCAATTTAATTTTCTTTGTTAAATGTATTATTAAAAACATCAATTACATATTATTCGAAGCAATCAATTAACCTATATTTTAGTAAAATATTTAAGTCCCAAATAATGAATGGGTCAATAATTTCTATTTAATTGAATATCTATTTATTTACATAAATCTTATCATATATACTTATATACTTTTAAAATGTGTATATTATTTTGCTCAGATTATTTTCATTTATATTTGCTTTATCTAAGTCAAGATTGATTAACAAATTATAGTTACAAATAGACAAAAGGAAGAAGCTTCTCTTGACTTGGAAAAAGTAGATTTATGTTTTGTAATACATACTTATAAAATATCATAATTAAATGTTTAGATTTAGAAAATGGGAGTAACCATAGGCCAACCATCAATAATTTTATTATTTGCTTCCAAGGTGTACAAGGTGTACCACCTTATTCCTATTCAGATGGTCGGTTTGTGGGCGAAGACTGATATAAGTATTTTGTCATTGGAAACATGTAAATACAATAAAATCTGTTGACATTTACAATATCAATACATGTGATTTTCATTTAATAAATCCTCACCATTATTCCCTTTGTAAAATTTTAAAAGAACCTTTGACAATTCCTACCTTTTTTTTAATTTTTGAAAGACACGCCATCTAGTTTCCAAATTTGTTACCAAATCAATTTTTTTTTCTTAAAAACTGGGATATTCAAAGGCAAAAAATTAAAGTTCAACATTTTATTAGTCTACATGATTTTTACAACTAAATCATTTAACATAACACATTAGAAAAGTATTGCTGTTGAATAAAATTTAAAAAAAAGTTACGCTTAACACTGTTATCCTTACAAATAAGTTGCAAAAATTAAAAAAAAACAATGACAAAGCAAAGTAAATTGAATAGAAAATATTTTTCAATAAATATGCACTTTCTAATGTTTTAATTTAAATGACGCAGTAAATGTTCTAAGCATCAAAATTATTCTGTCATCCAGTAGAAACGAGAGCCGAAGCGGGCGGGTTTCTTCTCTGCATCCTCTGGGAGTGCAGGTGTAGCGTCAGGGTAAACAGCCTTATCCTCAACTGGGGGCTTGGGTCTGTTTTAAAAAAATAAACATGAAAAGATATAACCTAAGTTCATTTGTCATACTTATTTACTGACAATATTTAATTACAAAGTTAAAATAGGTCAAAATTTTAAAGCTTATACATTTAACATTATCAAAATATTTATCGTTAATTTAAATAATTCAAAGTTATACCTCTTGGTATCATGAACCCGCACTTCACAGAAGTAGCCAAATGGAGGACGCTCCAAATTCAAATTTTCAAAAACGCACTTATCATACACATCCTGGGTTTTGCGGCAGCTGGAAACCAAGAAGATAACAAATGAGAACAAAATACATATATACACAAATATTAAGTGTGGGGACAAATAAATTGGTAATGTTACTGACAATCTGATTTTAAATAAGTGTTAATTTAGTAATAAAGAACTTACTATCTGAAACTATATTCTCCGGAACTCTTATCAATGCAGTTTGCATATTGATTGAACTCAGCCAAACAAGCTTTTTTCACTTTTCGGAAAAATTCCAATGTACAAGCTGTAACAGCCTTCCCTTCATTAATACATTTTCTTGGATCTTTTTCCTCAAAACGACAGAGCATGAACTCCTATAAACATTCGAAAGATTCATTTAATCAATTAAATCGGAAGACTTGTATTAATCTAATAGTTTTCTTTATACTGAAAATTGCTTTAATTACAACTATAACCAACTAAATTTAATAGTAATGTTTAGTTTTTCAAAATCATATTCCTAAACATTAAAAACAAGTTCGTCAAGCATAAAGTGCTAAAATAAATCTATTGTTGATTTTTAATACATTGAAAACATAACCTACTTAGTACGTTGTTATGCAATCAAAAGTATCTGATTAATATTATAGATTAATGTTTAGACATTACAATAAATCTATATGCTTTGAATAAAAACACTGAAATACTAACATTGTTTTGGTTTTCACAATATTTTCCTAGATGAAAAGAGCCAGCCCTCAAAATCGCAGTAGATAAATTGACCTCTTGTACAGTCAATTCTGACTCTTCCGGCAAATCAACATTGTTCGTTACCACCATTTTTTAATTTATGTATTTTTTACCTTTGGTTTTACAGACAATTTTATAAAGAATTTATGATTATTCCAAAAGATGTAGTACAAGAATTTCCAAAATATAGTGCCTATATCGAACG